ATTCGGTGCGGTTTTGACGGTTTCGGCGGTATTATGCATGAGTCCAGATCCCCTCCTTGAGCCCCCTCCTTCATTCCCTCCTTGCAGGGGCCTTCGGGTCCACTTTGAGGCCCAGTTTTGATAATCCGAACCGTTCATATTTTTAGATTTATTCAGTATATTATACCTGTAAAAAATTAAGTTGATCGGATATCAGAAAGTATGCGTTCAGAAAATTGGGACTACAAACTATTTTTTAATAAACAATTTTCCGAACACATACTTTATGATATTCGATCAACTTGATTTTTTACAGGTATGATATACTGAATAAATCTAAAAATATGAACGGTTCGGATTATCAAAACTGAGCCTCAAAGTGGACCCGAAGGCCCCTACAAGGAGGGAATGAAGGAGGGGCCTCAAGGGGAGGATCCCAATTCATTATGCATACCCCTACCTCCAAGATTAAAGTCTTATTTTATTTGTATTTTTCCTTTTTTTTTCTTTTTTTTTAATGAGCTCAAGGGCCAAAAAGTCGGGTTTGTGGGCGGGGTTGATGTTGGGCTAGGTAAGGTTTCAAATCCTAGGTCCAAGCTTACTCAGGCCAAGTCATGCTTTCTGAGATTCAGGCTCAAGCCAAGCATTCCTTCTAGCCAAATGATAAATTTGCTAATAAATATCAATTGTCAAAATGAACTTATTTCAAGAAGCTATTTAAATAATTCTTTTTATTTTTTATTCATTTAAATTTACACATTACACCGTATAAGGTCACGAGCAACATTTTTTTTGATATTTTAATGAGAATTCTTTCTAATTCTTCCTTTAAACATTTTGTTGTATGTCAATATCAAAAATTTATTTTATTTACTTTATTTTTGAACTTTTTAAGCTGACAAAAATTAATGAATTTGAAACGTAAAAATTTTTACAAAAACTTTTCAAAATATAACTATTTAAACGTGAAATTTTCAATTTTAATTTGCAAATAAGTTGGGCTCTTGTATTTTGTTAGACTAGCTGATATTTCTTAGGGTTAGGCTTAGGATAAATCATTTATGACCGATATCAAGTTGGACGAGGCTAAACCCGACATAAACCCAACCCGTCCACTCTACCCCTAGCCCAGGTTGACAGTATTTTGACAACTATAATACGTGTAATAGGCTTTGCTGGTCAAATGGCAAGGGTTCATATGATTTTTCAATAATGCCTTTCCTATTTTTGCTTTGAGCCATTGTAATTTTGGGCTTTATTTGCCTTACAACTTTGGAAAATTACAAGTCAATGTATTTTTTCAAAAAAAAATTCAATTCATGATAAAATTTATAAACATTAATAATTAAATTTATAAACTTTTCTATTAATCTGTGAATATTTGGTCAAAAAGCCATGTGTAATTTCCCCTTAAACTTTGAGAAAGCTACACGTCAGTGTAGTTTTTCCAAAAAAAAAATAAAAATAAATTAATTAATGGAAAACTTTATAAGTATTAATAATTAAATTTATAAACTTTTTCATTGATTTGTAAATATTTTGTCCAATTTTCACTTATGTGTAATTTTCCCTAAAACTTTCCCTGCTGTTGGATTTGAAGATGGGCCTCTGATCAACAAGGGCTTTGTTTTGTTTTTAAATTCCATGTGGGCTGATTTGCAAGTTTATTGTTGATTCTCATTTTGTACAACTTATGGGTGCTTATGAGATGAAAGAATTAAATTTTAAAAGTTAATTCACTTTTCAAACTTGGTAATGTGCCATCCTATACCTGGAATGAATTTTGTCTACACATTTAATTATGGATAAATTTAAGAAATTGAGAAAAATGGTATACAAGCCCATTCTTTAAATCCACTTTCTAAACCCAATAATGTGTAAAAAATATGATTCGCGTTGGCTAATGACTAGAGAAGATGTGAGAGAGAATTATCTTACATATTCTAATAGATTATTATATCATTAAATTTAAAAAGTAAATCTAATTTTTTGGTCTGAATAATACTACTAAAAAAATAATTAAGTAATCTCAGAGTAACGATGTGATGTTTCTTAGACCCGACAAGTGAATAACCACAAAACACATTACAAATAGGTTATTCTATATGTCTTAACTACCTAACAAATGTTAGCTAAGTTTTCATCATCCGTTGGAAGCATTACATGGACAATGCCAAACTCCAGAGCTATTGAATGGTTATCTATAAAATTATTAGTAATTTTTACAAGTATGTACCAAAATTATTTAATTTGAAAGTTTGCATCAAAATATTTAGGGAAACTTACGGGCTGGTCTTATTAAGTAAACTTATTTACCTATAGGTCTTGTTCCTTTTTTCACCTATCAATATCCCTAAAATACTCTTCATTTACTTTCTTTATTCCTATTATCAACACTCTTTTCTTCTAGTAGCAACTACTAGTCACCGGCAACCACCTTTAGCAATCACTTCCAATGCCGGCAATTATCTTCGGCGCCGACGACCACCTCCGGCAATAATTCTGACGATATTTTTTTGAATTGTTTCAACAAAAATAACATTTACCACTATTGCATTATTACTACTACCACCGCCACTACTCAATTACTGATTCATATTCTCACACACACACACACTCACTCACTAACATATTTTATATATTTATTTACTTACAAAAATGCAACCACATAGACATATATAATATACTAATCTAATAAATTTACTAGAAATACATTCAATGATAAAATTATCACTAATAAATTCACTAACTAATAATTTATCAGTGATAAATTTATCACTAATCGATTTTTAAAAACATTTACAAATAAATTTGATTCACTCATTTTTCCTCAAGTTCACTCACTAACTCACTTACAAGAATCTACCATCTGCTCACACACACAGAGGAAATAATAGAGACTTATAAATTTATCACTGAGAAAAAAAATGAATCCATCAAATCAATAAGAAATTAAAGATACATCTAGTGATAATTTTTACTAAACATAGCAGTAATAAATTTATCATTGCTAATCATTTATCACTGAGGGCCTGTTTGTTTTGGGTTATGTAGATGGAGGGGGATTAGGATGGTGGAGGTGTTATTTAGTGTTGTGTTTGTTTGTAGAGTTGGGGAGGGAATTAAGATGGTGGAGGTGATATAGATGGAGGTTGGGGAGGGGATTGAGATGGAGGTTGGGGAGATGGTATTAGAAAAATAGTGAGGGGATTAGAAATTTTTTTATTTTTTTTATATTGGGAATTTTTTTATAAATATTAATGTTTAATTTTTTATATTTTTTTATTTGTTTTATTATTTTATATAAAAATAATTTACAAAAATGCAACCACATAGACATATATAATATACTAATCTAATAAATTTACTAGAAATACATTCAATGATAAAATTATCACTAATAAATTCACTAACTAATAAATCATCAGTGATAAATTTATCACTAATTGATTTTTAAAAACATTTACAAATAAATTTGATTCACTCATTTTTCCTCAAGTTCACTCACTCACTCACTTACAAGAATCCACCCTCTTCTCACAAACACAGAGGAAATAATAGAGACTGATAAATTTATCACTGAGAAAAAAAATGAATCCATCAAATCAACAAGAAATTAAAGAAACATCTAGTGATAATTTTTACTAAACATAGCAGTAATAAATTTATCATTGCTAATCATTTATCACTGATTATGATTAGCAGTGATAAATTTATCACTGATAGAATTCTTCAAACGTTAGTTTATAAAGTTGATAGATTTATAAGGGAAGAAGGGCGAGATTTGAAAAATTCAAAAAAAAAAAAAAAATGCTAAAAATCAAACCAAATCTAAACGAAACAAAAAAATAAAATATCTTTTTGATTGGAAATATTTTTCAAATTCTGGCATTTAAGGAAAATTGTAGAGAGATAAGAGAGGATGAATAAAATATTTAAAATGTTATAGACTTCAAATTTTTTACTAAATAAATGACTAAATGTCTCACATGGATGTGGAGTCCACAATTTACATGGGTAGTAGAAAATTTGATACCCCCAATATTACTCTGATAATAAGTTGATAAAGTAAGACTTACTGGTATAAAAAACCCAAATATTTAATCTACCTTTTACTTACAACGTTTAATGTAAAAATGACTTAAATAAATTAGTTACTTTCAGTTGTATTTAAACTATCAACTTTTAATCTAGCAGAAATTGTACATAGCCTTACGTATACTTGAAAAATTGTTTACACTAAATCAGAAAATTAAAATTCAACTCCTAATTGCGCTTTTCCTATTTTATATTAAGTTGTTCAAGTACACAACATAAAATGAATTCAAAAAAAGAAAAAGAAAAAAAAAGAGTACAGTACATAAAATGACTTCATATTTCTTTGAAGGAGCCTTGTAAAGCCATAATCATATTCACTCGACCACTCACCCTATCCTATCCACAACTTTATGCTGGAGTGTCTAAATTCAAAACTGATTAATCCAATCTTTTTATTTTTTATGTTTTTGGTTTAAACTTCGACGCAATATAGAATTTGGAGGTCACATATATATATATAGTAACAAGTAAGATGTCAGTTAAATGGTTCTCAATGCTTATCTAAGAGGCATTGAGATGTTACATATTGCAACACTGCTTAGAGTTGGAACATCACAAGCTTATAAGTCCCTCCAAATATGTCATAGTTATCATTAAATTGATCCGTTACTTGAATCAATTTGTATATGTATATATATTGGTAACGAGCGTATTTGATGCTTTACGTCTGAGTATATGTAATGTAACAAGTAATTTTAGACATAGACCTTGAGATGACCTCAAGAGAGTCAAATAATTTATGAGATTCGAACTCATATAACTTCATTAACACTTAGATTAGTTGTATAAAAAATTTGTGGAAGTTGCTTCAAAAGGCTGTCCCATGCAACAGGGAAAATGAAGATTATTCAATGATACCCACAAAAAACTTCAATCAGCCTACTCTTTTTAACAGACCAATCACTCAGCCTACTCTGCTCTGCTGTTTTACCCCCATTTCTAAGCAAACTCACTAGCTATCTGCCTCCGTTTCAGCACCATCAACACCTCCCTCTCTCACTACCTTAAAACAAGATAGCTAGGATATATGAATGTTCTCTTCCCACCTTAAAAATACACCCTCTTACCTAACTTCAAATTCACTTCCCATCTCACCTCCCACTCCATAAAACCCCCAATTCCATCCCAAGTTTCACCACAGCTCTCTTCTTCACTTTCCCACTTCAAACCAGTACTAGTAAGTCATTACATTACCAACAAAAACTCCATAAAAATGTTGAACCAGCTTCTACTCATCATCACCTTCCTCTGCTTCTCCACAGCTTTTGCTCAATCTCCAGCACTACCTCCGCAACCTCCAGCTACTCAGTCTCCAGCACAACCTCCCCAAGTCCCTGCCACCCAGTCTCCGCCACCAGCACTAGCTCCACAAGTCCCACTAGTCCAGTCTCCACCCGCACAACTTGCACCAGGTCCAGCCCCACCAGGCCCACCCAACATCACCGCCATTCTCGAAAAGGCTGGTCACTTCTCTACATACATTCGGCTACTAAAGGCCACCCAGATTGATAACCAAATCTACAAACTCCTCAACGACTCCAGTCAGAGCCTAACTGTGTTCGCCCCATCTGACAATGCCTTCGGCAACCTCACAACCGGTACTCTCAACTCGTTCTCTGACGAGCAAAAGGTCCAGCTTGTGAAATTCCACGTCATCCCTTCTTTCCTTTCGATTCCTGCATTCCAAACAGTGAGCAATCCGTTGAGCACACAGGCTGGAAGTACTGTTCAGTACCCAATGAATGTGACCACGGCAGGGAATCTGGTGAACATCAGAACTGGGATTGTTAACACCACAGTGACCAGCACGGTGTACTCCGATAACCAGCTGGCGGTGTATCAGGTGGACAGAGTGCTGCTTCCGTTGTCTTTTTTTGTCTCTATTTCGCCTGCTCCGGCACCATCAAAGCCTGTGAAGAAGGCTCCGTCTCCAGTAAGCGACCAGTCGGCTAGTAGTACCGATGCATCGGTTCAAGCTTCCGGTGTTGTGCCTCACCGTGCATTCAATGTTGCTGTGTGGTTTGCTGGTTTGGTTATTGCAGTGGTGTGTTTCTGTCTTTGAGTTTAGAACTTGAGAGCTTGTCTTTTAGTTGAAAGTGTCTGTGTTTTTGAGTTGGAAAAAAAAAAATTGTACCAAGTGTTTTTGGATTCGGCTTGTAAACTATCATCTTTCAATAAATTGAGTGTTTTTTTTAAAAACAATTTCATGGCTCATAAGTCAAAAAAACAGTAATATAATAAACTAAAAAAAATACACCTAAAAATATGTTTATGAATCACAATATTTTTTTATAAGACTTATATCACACTAATTTTAAATTTATACCATATAACTCAATTCGAGATAAAGTTTGGAGAATTTTTTCATGGTCCATGATGTTTTTGGTTAAAAACTGAGAAAAATTACAATTCAGTGTGAGTTTAAAAATACATTTTAAATCAATGTAAACTTTACAAATATTAATAGTTAAAATATTAATTTTTTTCATGAATATGTAATTACTTTTTAAAAATGCCTAAATTGTGTTCCCTTAAAAAATATGATTATTTTCCTAAGACATTTTAATTTTTTTTGTTATTAATATAGTGCTGACATATGCGATGTTAATCAAAACATGATTTTGAAAAAAATATACAATGGTTATAATTAAAAAGGTTAAAAGGGAGTGTTTCTAAATATTGGTTTCAAATTAAAAAGTTTTTGATTGGAAAAATAACATTAAGATTATGTTTAGATTATAAATTTAAAAATTCGGGAGGAAAAAAAAAAAAAAAAACTTGTACTACTCTTTTGTAGTAAATTGCATTTGTAAATCAATTTTGTTTGAGTAAAATTATATTTGACGTTATTTCACTGTAACATATAAGAGTTTTAAAGATAATTTTTTTTCTTTTTTCTTTTTTTGGTCTCCAAAAGTATAAGTTTTGCTGCAAAAAATATTTAGAGATTAATTTCAGTTGTTGCGAGGACAATCGTTAAAAGGTTATTCCTAAAAATCAAAAACTGAGTTTTTAGGGACAAAATTTTAAATATATCATTAATAAATGCACTTTTAGGAACAAAATAACTTAGTTCCAAAAAGGTTTATTTTTTGAAACAAAACTTTTGGTCCCAAAAGGTTAATAATTCATTACTAAATGTCCAATTTTGTAGCTAAAAATAAAATAATAACACTGTTGGCGATAAAAATATTTTGTCCCTAAAAAGTGATTTTGTCTATAAATTTTTGTCTCTAAATCCTAATTTCTTATAGTGTTTGAGACTCGACAAAAAGACAGTAAAAATTTTATTGGACTAAAGAAGATAAACAAGTTACCTAAAATAATTAAGATGTCAAATACATGTTTCCTAAATTGTTTAATCTCTTATCCACACATTACTTAGATGGAAGGAACTCCTACATCCTAAGGGACAAGGGGTGTGTGCTGTGTGGCCCCATGGAGACATGTTCCGAGCCTATTTTGATAATTCGAATTGTTTATATTATAAAGTTTGCTGAGTATATTATCTATAAAAAGAATTAAGTTAATCAAACATGTATAACCCTATGATCAAGTATTAATTGTTTTAAAATAAATTATTAAAATTATATCAACCGTTTATTTTTTTAAAAACAAATATGGTCTTGTTTTGAAATTATAGATATTTAATTAATTTAAATTTTTTCATAAATGATCTACTCAACAAATCCTATAATATGAACAGTTCGAATCAACGACATCAACCCGAGACAAGGCCTCACAACACCGTGTTGTGCACAGCACGCACCTGCTTCCCATCCTGAGTTGTAGGAAAACTTCCCCTTAGTCCTCGTTTGGTTTTCTCATTGGAGCTAAAAAAGTACAAAAAGACAAAATATGTCATATAAGTCAATAAAACAAAATACTACTTTTTATCCATTAAAAAAAAAATGCCAAAATAAAAACCAAGCAAGGTTTAAAAAATACCAACACAAAAAAGTTAGCTAAAAATGTCTATTCCAAACGGACCCTTAATGTATAATCCAAATCTTACATTTCATTTATTGGGTAAAATCACGATTAAATTTTGTTACTTCATAAGGAAAAGATGCGCATTGAAAATCTCAATAATTGAAATCATTGACTGTTTACATTCGCTCGCAATAGATATGACATCTGTAACATCTATTGTATCTCTATAGTTGTGAATACGAGTTGGATTGCCTCTAGTTTAGATTAGAGAGAATTGTTTGAGCTCGTAGAGTCTATTATTGCTCTTATTAACCTGAATCGTTCATTTTATCAAATAATTTACACAAAAAATTAATTTAATTCAATAATTACAATCTATTTAATTTATGGCATTTCTCATCCAAAAAAATGAATAATAATTGTGTTTTTAAAAAAAAATTATTCTTTTTCTTTTGAGAAACAACGTGATAAATTGAATAAATTTCGATTATTGAATTAATTTAATTTTTTATGTGAATAATATACATAAAGTATTGACAAAACTAACGGTTTAAATCATTAAAACTCAACCTGGAACCAAAAATCCAAACAAGGCTTGCTAGTCTAGATCATAAACTGGAGGCAATATACATTCTTGTGAATAAAGGTCAAAGTTGTATGTTTCGGTGATTGAAATTTAATTTTCGGTGATGGCAGCACTGTTTTCCTTCATAATATTAGACACAGCTTTGTGCAGTGTTTTTGTCCAACATGAAGACAAGCATATAGTGTTGCAGAGAGAGAGAGAGCCTGTGTTTACTCAAAAGAATTATTTAATTGAAAACCGGTACACAAATCAAACGCTGTCATCATCAACAAACTCTCATTCTCAATTCAAAGACAAGCTCTCAAGTTCTCAACTCAAAGACACAAACACAATGCTGCAATAAGAAAACCTGCAAAGCACACAGCAACATTGAGTGCAGGGTGGTGATTCACCGGCATTGCACCGGAAGCCTGAACCGACGTATCGGTACTAGTAGTGGACACGTCGCCTGCCGGAGACGCAGCCTTCTTTTCAGGCTTTGATGGTGCGGGAGCTGGTGATATAGAGAAAAAAAAGGACAACGGAAGCAGCACTCGGTCCACCTGATACACCGCCAGCTGGTTATCGGAATACACCGTGCCAGTCACTGTGGTGTTAACAATCCCAGTACTGATGTTCACCAGATTCCCAGCCGTGGTCACATTCATCGGGTACTGAACAGTACTTCCAGCCTGTGTGCTCAACGGATTGCTCACTGTTTGGAATGCAGGAACCGAAAGGAAAGATGGGATGACGTGGAATTTCACTAGCTGGACCTTTTGTTCGTCTGAGAACGAGTTCAGAGTACCGGTTGAAAGGTTGCCGAAGGCATTGTCAGATGGGGCGAACACGGTTAGGCTCTGGCTGGAATCGTTGAGGAGTTTGTAGATTTGGTTGTCAATCTGGGTGGCCTTTAGTAGCCGAATGTATGTAGAGAAGTGACCGGCCTTTTCGAGAATGGCTGTGATGTTGGGTGGGCCTGGTGGGGCTGGACCTGGTGCAAGTTGTGCAGGTGGAGACTGGACTAGTGGGACTTGTGGAGCTAGTGCTGATGGTGGCGGAGACTGGGCGGCAGGGACTTGGGGAGGTTGTGCTGGAGACTGAGTAGCTGGAGGTTGTGGAGGTAGTGCTGGAGACTGAGCAAAAGCTGTGGAGAAGCAGAGGAAGGTGATAATGAGTCGAAGCTGGTTCAACATTTTTATGGAGTTTTTGTTGGTAATGTAATGACTTACTAGTACTGGTTTGAAGTGGGAAAGTGAAGAAGAGAGCTTGTGGTGAAACTTGGGATGCAATTGGGGGTTTTATGGAGTGCTGGGGTGAGATGGGATGTGAATGTGAAGTTAGGTAAGAGGGTGCATTTTTAAGGTGGGAAGAGAACATTCATATATCCTAGCTATCTTGTTTCAGGTATAGAGAGAGAGAGAGAGAGAGAGAGAGAGAGAGAGAAGTGGGGGGTGTTGATGGTGCTGAAGGTGAAGCAGATAGCTAGTAGTGGGTTTGCTTAGCAATGGGGGAAAAAACAGCAAAGTAGGCAGGGTGATGGAAGTTGTGTGTTGCGTTAAGAGGTAAAAAAAACAAGTTTATGTAGGATTAATTAGTTTGGAGTTTGGAGAGTTCTTTCATCTGATTACAGCATAAAGTTGGGGATAGGGTGAGAGGTCGGGTGATTATGATTATGGCTTCACAAGTCTCCTTCATAAAATTACAAAGTCGCTTATGTTCTGTACATCGAATTACAATTACATATAAAATAGGCAATAATGCTACAATTTCATAATAAATATTTAGAAAAGTTTTAGAATTTCAAATTAATGATTAACAATCATTTAGCCTTTATTTAGGATGAATTTTTTTAGCTTGATTTTTTGATTATTTTAACTATTTTAGCCTGGCTAAAAAGATTTCGTTTGGAAAGAATTTTTGTGTCTTTTTTTAAAAAAATTTGTAAAATAAAAAATGAAATGATCATGGTCTAAATAGGACATTTTGTCTTATTGATTTTTTAAACTATTTTGTGTTTTAGTGGGCTAAATTAATCACAACTTACTTTTCAAATGAGGCCTTAGAGTGCAGTTTCACAATTCAATAAATATCATTGATCTAAATTCATGATAATTTTCTGAACACTTTTCTGTTGCCAAAAATGGAAAAGAACATGGTCTGGACCCTCTCGTCCATGATTTGAATTAGAGAGTGTTATCCAACTATGTGAAATTCACTATAAGTTTCGTTTCCATGATTCAAACTATTCATTTTGTAGTGTCCTGTGTATATAATTGACACTTAAAATTAAATTAACCTGATAATCGTAACATATTCAACTTATTGTATTTGTCACAAAAAAAAAAAAAATGAATGATTTGTTTTTAAAAATACACTTTTTGTCCTTTTTTTTTAATACACAAATGCAATAAATTAAATATATTACAATCATCAAATCAATTTTTATTTTTATTTTTATAAATAACACACATAAAAAAATTGACAAAATAAACAATTTAAATTATCAAAATAAAAACGTAATTTGCTTCATGAGCCTACCAACCGACCCCTGTAATATAAATCATGGACCATTATGAGCTTCTTCAACAGTGACAACATGATTTATTTATTTATTTAAATGCTGCATAAGCCCATCTCGAGCACAAGAAATATAGAAGCCCATGTTGGTCAAAACTGATCTTCAAATTGGAAAGCTTCAAGGGAAATAGAGCCCAAAATTACAATGTGCTTCTAGCAAAAATAGGAAAGGCTTTGTTGAAAGGGTTTTTTACGGCTAGTCTCATAAAGTGAACTTAATTATTATTAATAACTCTTCAATTGTGTATATTATTCTCATTAAATATCTTTTTTTTTCTCTCTCTAATATTTCTCAAATCTTTTTACTCTATTTCATCTCTCACCACCACCATCCACCGCTGGTCACCGTTACCACCACCGCCACCATCCACTGCACGCCACCACCACCACTGGTCACGAATCACTTTTACTATTGTAGATCTATACTCTTTGATCTCCAATCTATACTCTATCATTGCCGATCTACCACAACCCTCATCAATCTATACTTTATCTTCTTTGACTACGCTTTTATATCTCCGATCTATACTCTACCGTCACCAATTTATACTCTATCGTCAAAGATCCTTTGAAAAAACTTTGAGAATTTGAAAAATCTTCTCTGTTAAAGATGTTTTTGTTTTTTAATTTGGTTTTGTTTTTAACAAATTTTGTTTTTTTGTTTTTTTGAGTTTTGTTTTGGATTTGTAAGATGATGATGACAATGATGAAAGATATAAAGATTTTTCAAATCACACCTCTCTTTCTTATTCTCCTTGTCAATTGCTTGTAAACTAATGTTTAGAGAAATTTGTGTCAAAAATTTATTACTAAGAAAACTATTTTCTATATGTGTGTTCATTTGCTTTTTTTGAATGAATAAATGAGTGAGTGAGTGAGTGTGCGTGTATGTAAGTGTGAGTGGGACAGTGAAAGAGAGTAAGTGATTAATTGATTTGATAAATATTGATACAGTGATAAATTTAGATAAATATATTATAGTGATAAATTTTTATTTCTTTTTTATATGTAAATATGTAAATGTGTGTCTTTGAATGAATAAGGGAGTGTAAATGTGAGTATGATAGTGAAAAAGAGTAAGTAATTAACTGGTTTGATAAATATCGATACAGTGATAAATTTATCACTATTAAATATTTCTACTTCTCTTTTTGACACCAAATCTGAAGAGGTATGAGAGAGTGACATGGTAGAGATAGATGTTGATTTTTCTTTAAAAATGACAGAAAAATTGTCAAAAATTACTACCAAAAAAAAATCGCCATAGCAAAATTTTTTTTAAAAATTACTATCAAAAAAATATCGCCAGAGGTGGTTGTCGATGGTCAGAGACAATAACCGGAGGTGATATCTAGTGAGAGAAGATGTAGTCATAGTCGTGTGAATAATGGGGACGAAAAAAGTTAGAAGAGACATTTTAGGAATATTCATAGCTGAAAATAAAATAAGATTTATAAGTAAATAAATTTGGTCAACAGGGTTGGCCTTAAGTGCCCCTTGTTGAAAACCATATGAACCATTGCCACTTGACTTTATGAAATATCAGCTGAGTTAACAAAAAGCGGATCTGGTTGACAAAATTTATTTGCACATTATTTAACTAAAAATTTTAAAAATTATGTTTAAATCGTTATACTTTGAAAGATGATTCTTAAAAAAATTTCATGAAACATTAAATCCATATGAAATAACATAATTACTCAATCAGTGCCTTTTTATTATACTGTGTTTGATTGAGAGATTTGAGAAGGGATTTGAAAAGAGAAATGAAGAAGGTAGGTGAAATGTGAATAAAATATGTATATATTTCACATAGTTTCACACACCTTTTCCCTTTCCCTTTCCAAATCCCTTCTCAAATTCTCCAACCAAACGCACCATTAGTGTTTATATAGAAGCAACATAAAACATTGTATCTTTTCCCAGAAGTCCCCAAGTTTGAAAAAGAAAAAGAAAAAAAGGGTGTTCAAAGTTGAAATGAATTTCAATTGTATTAAGATAGAGTTTCCAAAAATAAAAATTTTAATTTTAATTTTAATATATATATACAATTTTTCACTTAAAACCTTAATTTTTTGAATAGGCATGAGTGTAATGTATGGACTATGAACCTTTTCGTTAACAAATTAAATTGATATCATTACGCGTTTAAAGACTCCTGATTCCTAACAAATGTCGCATGAGAGAGCGAGAGTTGTACCCACCGTTGATGGCATTGACAACTTGGAGTGGCTTTTGACTATTTTACCCCTTCCCAAACAAGGCCTCAAATTTGGAATCAACCCATTTCGGAGAAATCAGCTGGTTTAGTAAAATCAGTTTTTTGGACGAAATTTCAAATGTTTTTGGTATGTAGGCTAACTTTGGCATCTCTTAAAAAAATTTAAAAACTATTATCCTATTTAAGTCATATCATTTTATTTAAGTTATATCACATCTCTTTCATATTTCAAATCTAACTCATATTTCATAAAAAGTCAAAAAACTTACTTATTTAGATAATTCCGAACAACCCTTTAGTCTAAGGTAGTTAATTTCTCCCTCTTTTTTTTTTTTTTAATGTTTTATTTCTTTAATTTTCATGATCAAAATTTGAAAATCAGTTTCGAAATATTTTGAGTTATTTTTATTCCTCTGTCTCGGAAAGTTGTGCTCTGTTTGGTTAGGGGATTTGAAAAGAAAAGGAAAAAGTTAGGTGAAATGTGAATAAAATATATCTACATTTCACCGAGTTTCACACACCTTTCCCTTTCCCTTTTCAAATTCCTTCCCAAATCCTCCAACCAAACACAACATTAGTCTCTTACTTGGTTTTTTGTTTAATTTTTCATACCCAGTTTCAAAATCAACATTGGAAGTATAGCCATTCCCAATTTTCGCTATCAACTCGACTTCTTGTCATTGGTTCATTTTGATTATTTTATTCTCACTCAAGTAGTTGCTTTCTTTTGCTTTGCTCAATACCTGCTTGATAAAATGACTCCCTTTTTTTTATTTTTTATTATGGCAAAATGGAAGCATTTTCTAGTTCACTTAGATTATTTTGCTATCTGGTAGTTTGTTTTATTTATATTTTGATTAATATTTTTTGTCAAGCCTCTTTCCAGAAATCAAATTTAGCATGTGCATTAGCAGTGGCGTGAGATCAGTGGCAGTAATATTCTTAGGTGGCGGGAATGGTAGTCGGGCACTTAGTTTTGTTGGAGGCAATGGTGCTTCAATCCAAATAGTTTGATGGCTACTTCAAATTTTGATGGCAAGGGGAACTTACTTGTTATTGAATGTCGGTGATCTGATTTACATTAGTGATTTGAATTCTCAAGATAAGGTAGTTTGGTGTTAAATGTGTTTTTTTCCCCCCCAGCTGAATTGTCACTCTGATAAACTGGATTCAATTTGAGAAGTTTGTTGTTCAATGTAGGATCCTACAATAAATTTTAGTAGGTCGGGTCCTGTTTGCCATGCATTTGATCCGGATGCTGAGGATGGACATGAATTGATTATTGAGTTCAATTCCAGAGATGGTAATTTTTTTATTTTTTTGTACCTGAAAATTTGAAATTCTCATGAGCAGTTTTCTACATTTTTAAATTATTGAATGGTTTGTGTTTTTTTTGTAGTCTATTCAGTGTTATTGAGATGACAATTACAAGGTGTGGGGAAGAAGCTTGTTGGGGCACAACAATATAACAAAGTTGTGTTAATAATAGGGAAGACGTTAACTCAATTATCCTACACCTTTGATTGCCGGATTATTTTTTATGGGATTAGATATGATAGGGTTATTGATAGGATTGTGAGAGTTAAGTTATACTATAGGATTAGATGAGATGAAGGATTATCATAAGATTATGAAAGATAAGCTATATCATGAGATAAAGTTATTCAGAGTTAATACCATATAAAACAAACGTTGGCCTAAAATTAAACATGTGAGTCCCAGATATTCTCCACCCCTTTATCCCTTTTGCTTATCTCACAAAACAAACAACACCTTTGATTGCCGGATTATTTTTTATGGGATTAGATATGATAGGGTTATTGATAGGATTGTGAGAGTTAAGTTATACTATAGGTTTAGATGAGATGAAGGATTATCATAAGATTATGAAAGATAAGTTATATCATGAGATAAAGTTATCCAGAGTTAATACCATATAAAACAAACGTTGGCCTAAAATTAAACATGTGAGTCCCAGATATTCTCCACCCCTTTATCCCTTTTGCTTATCTCACAAAACAAACAACGGAAAAAATAATCCGGTGAGGCCTATCGCCTCACTTTTTATCCCACAAATAGTACTGCAATAAACATGGCTTTACGGCACAAATGTATGATTTCCAATCACCCTCATTATGCAATAGTATGAACTTTTCAGCTTTAGTGCTACTCGCTCTGTCTAAGGAGCATTTTTTTAGTTTCAGCGCTTTCTCATCATGATTTTTCTTGATGAAAAACACTCATATATGATTTATTCATATGTCATTTTATGGAAGAAAAGATGTTGATGATGAGGACTGATCAATGTTAAGATTCTTCATCGTAAGACATGTAGTCACTGTAACTTGAGGGTGACGCTGTAAGGAGTTTGTGGTTCAGGAGGAGGGGAGAATCAACCAAAAGGTGGGTAATTTTCGGGAAGGTGGTCTGTCTTGAGGCTTAGGCAAAAGGTCTGTGGGTTATGAAGAGGGTCAGAAATCTGAGTGCAAAGGATTTGAGAATGAGGCTATAAAGCACACAACTTCTATTAGTTGATTGTTTAAAACAAATCTATTTTGCTATACTAGTTTCTCATTAAAAAGTCAACTTTAACGACTTTAAAAAGTTATTAGAAATGCCAACACGCTAGGAATATACCAATTAACTTACTTTTCTTAATATTAACTTTTTTTGGGTGGCTTATATTTAGTTAATAAATTAGCTTTTTAGCTAATTCTCAAAGAAAGCCGAGGCTAATTTTGCTAGGAAGAGTGGGAGTAACTAAGTTGGAAGTGGTAGAAGCTAGAGGAGGGGTTTATTGAAGGGCGTCATCTATTGTTGTTTTTTCTGTTGATCTTTATCCCCTATATATGGTCACATTGAAGGATTGAGTTTGTGTAATGCCAAAGTGGTGGGGATGAGGAGGGGACAAATTGGTGAATTCTCTCTGTAAACCTGCAAACAACTATTGTAAAATGATATGATGGTTTCTTTTCTTTACCCTCAATTTCACTTAGAATTAAAATGTGTCCATAAAATTCATTTTAGGTTTGATACACAACACCAACTTAAAATCTATACCCATACGATTCTACTTTTCTGATAAAAATTTTGATGAAATTTTGAGAGTAACTAGAATTATTGTTACTTCATACTATTAGATAAAGGTTTGCAGTGTTTGTAAGCAACATGAAGAGAAGCATATGGTGTTGCAAGAAGAGTGTTTAGACAAAAGAATTATTTAAGTAAAAACTTTTACACAAATCAAACACAATCATCATCAACAATCTCTCAACTCAAAGACACAAACACATTGCTGCAATAAGAAAACCTGCAAAGCACACTGCAACATTGAGTGCACGGTGGTGAGTCACCGACATTGCACCAGAAGCCTGAACTGACGTATTGGTACTAGTAGTGGACTGATCGCCTGCCGGAGATGGAGCCTTCTTCTCAGGCTTTGATGGTGCTGGAGCAGGTGATATAGTGACAAAAAAGGACAATGGAAGCAGCACTCGGTCCACCTGATACACTGCCAGTTGGTTGTCGGAATATACCGTGCCAGTCACTGTGGTGTTAACAATCCCAGTACTGATGTTCACCAGATTCCCGGCTGTGGTCACATTCATCGGGTACTGAACAGTACTTCCAGCCTGTGTGCTCAACGGATTGCTTACTGTTTGGAATGCAGGAACCGAAAAGAAGGATGGGATGACGTGGAATTTCACCAGCTGGACCTTTTGCTCGTCTGAGAAGGAGTTGAGAGTACCGGTTGAAAGGTTGCCAAAGGCATTGTCAGATGGGGCGAACACGGTTAGGCTCTGGCTGGAGTCGTTGAGGAGTTTGTAGATTTGGTTGTCAATCTGGGTGGCCTTTAGTAGCCGAATGTATGTAGAGAAGTGACCGGCCTTTTCGAGGATGGCGGTGATGTTGGGTGGGCCTGGTGGGGCTGGACCTGGTGCTAGTTGTGCAGGTGGAGACTGAACTAGTGGGACTTGTGGAGCTAGTGCTGGTGGTGGAGACTGAGTGGCAGGGACTTGGGGAGGTTGTGCTGGAGACTGAGTAGCTGGAGGTTGTGGAGGTAGTGCTGGAGACTGAGCAAAAGCTGTGGAGAAGCAGAGGAAGGTGATAATGAGTCGAAGGTGGTTCAACATTTTTATGGAGTTTTTGTTGGTAATGTAATGACTTACTAGTACTGGTTTGAAGTGGGAAAGTGAAGGAGAGAGCTGTGGCGAAACTTGGGATGGAATTGGGGGTTTTATGGAGTGGGAGGTGAGATGGGAAGTGAATTGTGAAGTTAGGTAAGAGGCTGTATTTTTAAGGTGGGAAAAGAACAGTCATATATCCTAGCTGTCTTGTTTTCAGGTACTGTTAGCACCATAAATCTGCAATTTTTATTATTATTTATTATTTATATAATTGCAGGACACGTGGCATCCTCTTATTCATTTGGAAGTTAAAAGAAGTTATAGAGATAATGGAGAATATGAAGGACAAAGTGGATGAGTGGGAAGACAAAGTGGATGAGTGGAAGGACACATGGCAAGACAAGAATGAAGATGGAAGAAATGGGTAGTTACTAAGTAGTTATTGCTGTATTTTTTCTTCTATAAATAGCCATTAATGGCTACATTGTAAAAGGATCCAGAACTTAAATCAAAAACACTTGATTTCAATATTTCTTGTCATTTTCCTTATCTTAGGAGTAGTTTAACATAGATTTATATTTCGAAGCATTTATTTTCAGCATTTCCATTTCGAAGCATTTTATGCACTTCCTTTTGTCGAAGCATAGGAGTAGAGGTACGTAATTATTACTTTGATTGTTCACTCAATCGTCTTTCTCCGTCCCTCTTTCTTCTTTTACTTTTTTTTTTTCTCTACACTTGGCAAATTTGAAGTCCTCTTTGTTGAGGCAAACGAACCGTCAACGGAATCGCTTGATAATTGGCTTGAATTTAATCTGTAAGGATTTTTCAATCCTTGCTGGCACGCTCGCATTTATGATATTTTCCTTCGTAAGAAAAATAAGCCAACAACAGCCGATGAAGAAACCTTTCAGGCCAACCAAAAAGTGTGGATGAAAATTATATTTTTTAAAGCACCATTTGTTTGTGTTAGGAACTTTTCAAAGTGCCGCCCAAACACTAGGGGACAAACTGGCATGCATATAAGTTTGATAATTATAATCATTGAATTATCCTCTGTTCACAAATTTTTTAATTTTTCTCCCAAAATTTTTGTAGTCATTAAATCATATTTTGAAATTCTTACACATTCGAATTCTCATATAATTTGACAATTGCGAGTGTTTTGAGTTAAAATAGCATAAAATTTTTTGAGACAGAAGATCTCGTGCCATTATTATAAGTTTAGGTAACATAGGCGAAGTTATTGAGTAATCTTTGAGTATTAGTTCACATGACACTTGTTCTACTCTTTTGAAAGACACACGAAAGCAATAAGTCCTATTATTTTAATCAATAAAATTCAAATTAGAGGTTCATTTGTATTTGTCCCTCGAGCAGGCCATGTAATCATCTTGTCTATTCATTAATTTTGTGCTTGAATTTTTGATTTTTGGAGAAAAAAATAAAAGAGAAGGGGTTTGTGGGAAAAAAAAACAGTTTTTATTTCATTTAAAAATATATAAAAATTACATTAAAATTTTAATTATTTTAACGTTATAATCACTTAATCACAACTTTTTAGGCTATAATTAGCATGTTTTTTGGGGTGAATAATGATTAGCATGTTATCTATTATAAATTACGCAATTGATTAATTTTCAACTCAACAATTGTCTGGTCACCCAATTGCTTGAGCATTCACTGATACAAGTTTTAACTGAAATGTCCTGCCCCCAACTGGAAAATCCTAAAATTCAACTGCAACTGTTTGATTTTATTGATTTTACCTAAACATAACACTATAAAATTAGTATAATTTTTTTTTATATTATCATTTTAAAAAATAATTCATTCTCCTTTTTTTTTTTATAAATCCGGATTCATTCTCCTAGTTGAGACCCTCTAATTTCACTTCCATTAACATGTTTATCACATGAAAATACACCCATACTCCTCTCTCTTTCTCTTTCTCTCTCTCACTCATTTTATTTTTTCATTCGTATCATTGAAGATAAAATTAAAAATTCAAACAAAAAAATATAGTTGGACTGTATTTTTTTTTTTATATATATAGAAGAAAATCTTTTTTTAGATAGGTATATAGAAGAAAATCTAGCCAAATAGTATTCAAATAAAATTATACGTACTATATATTAATTAATATATTAGGTGTAGCACCACTGATAATATTCTCCTTTCGAAATGAATATTCGATCAGCGTTTACGGACAGCCACATGAACCACACTACACCGCCATGCAAATTGACTCTATTTGACTAGTAGTTAGCTGTCGATATATGCAACAACACTAGAAGATTAGTGTACCTTACCTATTTTTTTTTATTCCCACAACAACTCTTCGCTTCACACTCAAATTCATTGTATTGTCTTGTATAGGTTTGTGTTTGTTTCCTTCATTGATACACACTCTCATTACACACAAACAACAACAATCGTTTCTACTTCTTCTTCTTCTTCGTGATTATTCCTAATATAATTATTATTTACGAAGTTTCAAGAACAGGGTTTGGAAATTATTGTGAAAGGGTTCGCGTTTGGAGGTTGAATTTGATCTCTGGATTGGGGAAAACAAAAAACAAAATGGTACCTAAGTGGGTTTATGGTTGAATTTGAACTCTGATTGGGGAAAACATAAAAACAAAAAACAAAAGAGAAATGTTTTTTGCCCCGATTTTCTCCGCCCCGAATGCCTCGAAATTCAGAAGAGAGAGAGAGAAGAGAGGGGAAGAGGACCGCAGCTCGTCGCCTCGCCACCCACCGTCGCAGCCGTCCGATCGTCGCCCGATCCGGATCGTCGCAGCAGCTGCACCGCCGTCACCGCAGCTGCACCGCCGTCGCCGTCGCCTCCGCCTCCTCCTCCTCCTCCTCCTCCCCCACCGGTTATGCCTCCTCCTCCTCCTCCTCCTCCTCCTCCTCCTCCTCCTCCTCCTCCTCCTCCTCCTCCTCCTCCTCCTCCTCCTCCTCCTCCTCCTCCTCCTCCTCCTCCTCCTCCTCCTCCTCCTCCTCCTCCTCCTCCTCCTCCTCCTCCTCCTCCTCCTCCTCCTCCTCCTCCTCCTCCTCCTCCTCCTCCTCCTCCTCCTCCTCCTCCTCCTCCTCCTCCTCCTCCTCCTCCTCCTCCTCCTCCTCCTCCTCCTCCTCCTCCTCCTCCTCCTCCTCCTCCTCCTCCTCCTCCTCCTCCTCCTCCTCCTCCTCCTCCTCCTCCTCCTCCTCCTCCTCCTCCTCCTCCTCCTCCTCCTCCTCCTCCTCCTCCTCCTCCTCCTCCTCCTCCTCCTCCTCCTCCTCCTCCTCCTCCTCCTCCTCCTCCTCCTCCTCCTCCTCCTCCTCCTCCTCCTCCTCCTCCTCCTCCTCCTCCTCCTCCTCCTCCTCCTCCTCCTCCTCCTCCTCCTCCTCCTCCTCCTCCTCCTCCTCCTCCTCCTCCTCCTCCTCCTCCTCCTCCTCCTCCTCCTCCTCCTCCTCCTCCTCCTCCTCCTCCTCCTCCTCCTCCTCCTCCTCCTCCTCCTCCTCCTCCTCCTCCTCCTCCTCCTCCTCCTCCTCCTCCTCCTCCTCCTCCTCCTCCTCCTCCTCCTCCTCCTCCTCCTCCTCCTCCTCCTCCTCCTCCTCCTCCTCCTCCTCCTCCTCCTCCTCCTCCTCCTCCTCCTCCTCCTCCTCCTCCTCCTCCTCCTCCTCCTCCTCCTCCTCCTCCTCCTCCTCCTCCTCCTCCTCCTCCTCCTCCTCCTCCTCCTCCTCCTCCTCCTCCTCCTCCTCCTCCTCCTCCTCCTCCTCCTCCTCCTCCTCCTCCTCCTCCTCCTCCTCCTCCTCCTCCTCCTCCTCCTCCTCCTCCTCCTCCTCCTCCTCCTCCTCCTCCTCCTCCTCCTCCTCCTCCTCCTCCTCCTCCTCCTCCTCCTCCTCCTCCTCCTCCTCCTCCTCCTCCTCCTCCTCCTCCTCCTCCTCCTCCTCCTCCTCCTCCTCCTCCTCCTCCTCCTCCTCCTCCTCCTCCTCCTCCTCCTCCTCCTCCTCCTCCTCCTCCTCCTCCTCCTCCTCCTCCTCCTCCTCCTCCTCCTCCTCCTCCTCCTCCTCCTCCTCCTCCTCCTCCTCCTCCTCCTCCTCCTCCTCCTCCTCCTCCTCCTCCTCCTCCTCCTCCTCCTCCTCCTCCTCCTCCTCCTCCTCCTCCTCCTCCTCCTCCTCCTCCTCCTCCTCCTCCTCCTCCTCCTCCTCCTCCTCCTCCTCCTCCTCCTCCTCCTCCTCCTCCTCCTCCTCCTCCTCCTCCTCCTCCTCCTCCTCCTCCTCCTCCTCCTCCTCCTCCTCCTCCTCCTCCTCCTCCTCCTCCTCCTCCTCCTCCTCCTCCTCCTCCTCCTCCTCCTCCTCCTCCTCCTCCTCCTCCTCCTCCTCCTCCTCCTCCTCCTCCTCCTCCTCCTCCTCCTCCTCCTCCTCCTCCTCCTCCTCCTCCTCCTCCTCCTCCTCCTCCTCCTCCTCCTCCTCCTCCTCCTCCTCCTCCTCCTCCTCCTCCTCCTCCTCCTCCTCCTCCTCCTCCTCCTCCTCCTCCTCCTCCTCCTCCTCCTCCTCCTCCTCCTCCTCCTCCTCCTCCTCCTCCTCCTCCTCCTCCTCCTCCTCCTCCTCCTCCTCCTCCTCCTCCTCCTCCTCCTCCTCCTCCTCCTCCTCCTCCTCCTCCTCCTCCTCCTCCTCCTCCTCCTCCTCCTCCTCCTCCTCCTCCTCCTCCTCCTCCTCCTCCTCCTCCTCCTCCTCCTCCTCCTCCTCCTCCTCCTCCTCCTCCTCCTCCTCCTCCTCCTCCTCCTCCTCCTCCTCCTCCTCCTCCTCCTCCTCCTCCTCCTCCTCCTCCTCCTCCTCCTCCTCCTCCTCCTCCTCCTCCTCCTCCTCCTCCTCCTCCTCCTCCTCCTCCTCCTCCTCCTCCTCCTCCTCCTCCTCCTCCTCCTCCTCCTCCTCCTCCTCCTCCTCCTCCTCCTCCTCCTCCTCCTCCTCCTCCTCCTCCTCCTCCTCCTCCTCCTCCTCCTCCTCCTCCTCCTCCTCCTCCTCCTCCTCCTCCTCCTCCTCCTCCTCCTCCTCCTCCTCCTCCTCCTCCTCCTCCTCCTCCTCCTCCTCCTCCTCCTCCTCCTCCTCCTCCTCCTCCTCCTCCTCCTCCTCCTCCTCCTCCTCCTCCTCCTCCTCCTCCTCCTCCTCCTCCTCCTCCTCCTCCTCCTCCTCCTCCT